GAAGGGGAGCCAAGAGCAGGTGAATACAGGGGATGGAGTGGAGATGATGGTAGAATACACACAGGATGGAAATGATGATAGAATAACCACAGAGGACAGAGATTTTGGTAGAATATGCACAAAGGATGGAGATGATGATGTAAAGGGGAACTCTGTGGACTCTGATGTAAGGGTCAACTTTGTGGACTGTGATGTAATGGGGAACTCTGTGGAGTCTGATGTTAAGGGGAGCTCTGTTAATTCTTATGTAAGGGTGTGGACTATGGTGACCAGAGATCCCCTTACATATCAAAGTTTCCTTTTACACCAGAATCTGCAGCATTCCCTACATCATAATCCTCAGAGTTCTTCTTTTTATCAGGGTCCGCACAGTTCCCTTTTTTTCATGTAAATGGAGAAATGTTTTTTTTTTTGCCTTTTGTTATACCTTAAACACATTTACACGTTTGTAACTTAAGTATTTATATTTGCACTGAAAACATTCATTTTATGTACTTTTTTGAAGTGCCAATAAAAAATTTGGCTCCGTAAGTAAAGTTCATAAGTTTTGTCAGTAAGAAAAAAATGGTGCTGGCAGTAAATTTTTGGGTTCCTGTCACTAAATTTCACTGCTCAACGGATTTAGTGTGAATAGGCCCTCAAAAAGACAACAGATGTAACTTAAGTAGTGTAATTAATACATTCAGAAGCTAAAAACAAAACTTACTCTAAACTTCTTCCTCATAGTGGTGTCAATAAAACTTTCTCCAGAAAAGATGACTGCATAAGGCTCTAAAACTAAATTAAATGGATCTGTGGTCCCTTTGAATTCAAGATCAAGGACAATAGTATCATTTAGTGTAGGAGCCAGTTCTGCAATGCTCATTGGATGTTTATTTGCACTAAAAAAAGAAAACACATACACATAAAACAGAATGTATAGTGACCTAGATAGACATTAGCTGATTTAATGTAAAAACTGTCAAATCTGACATAAGCAGAGGTTACCTTGAAGTATAACTCAAGGTAAAACATTTGTTCTCTTTCGGATAGAGTGGAGAGTGTCACCGTTAGGGAGATTCACCTTGTAATAGTTGGTAAATCTTCCAAGGGGGACACTAGTTCTGGTGACCTGGGAGGCATCAAGGGATTCCCTTAATTTGCAGGGATTTCCTCTCACTTCCTGTTTCGTCTTTAAGACAGGAAGTAAAGGCAAATCTCCCCAAGGGGACACAGATGGCAAAAAATTACATGAGTTCTAACCCTCCATTATGCTATCCAATGAGAAAAAGAAAGTTTTGCCTTTAGTTACATTTTAAATCAGCCTTTCTCAACCTTTTTAACACAGAGCAACCCTTGAAATAACTTTCCAGTCTCAAGTCAGGTGACTTGTGGTCACTAGGAAGAATTACTCCCTTGTCATTCTTTGTTGTTCTTGAAAGTGTCACTCTGGTATCCATCCAGGGCCGTCTTTAAGGAGGGGCAAAAGGCGCAGCTGCCCTGGGCCCATTCATTGCTGTGGGGCCCAAAGCAAGTACCCCATACTTGCCTACTGTTCCAGCTTATATTTCCTTGCCCCTTAAATGTCCTTGTCCCAGGCTGTGTCCCAATATTTCAGTGTGAAGTGCTGTCACCTATGCTGTCCAGCTTTCCCCAATTGCCATATCCAGATGACTTATATGTGCAGCCAGTGTCAGCATTCACATGTAAATAACTGGCATTCATATGTTAATAGCGTCAGCATTCATATGTAGGGCCACCAGTACTGTGTCATTCATTTGTAAATAGTGGTCAGTGTCCAATCCTCCCTTTATGGTCAGTGCAAATTCCCTATTACATTGGTGGTCAGTGTAAATTTCCCTTAACATTGGTGGTAAGAGCAGAATTGCCCTTACACTGGTGGTCACTGTAAATCCCCCCTTACATTGGTCATCAGTGAAATCCCCCTAACATTGGTGGTTGGTATATAAATGTCACCACCCATTCCCATCCACCCCCAGCACTTCCACTCATCCCATTCCCCCAAGTACTGCCACTGATCCCATCCCCCACCAGCACTGTCACTCATCTCATTCCCCCAGCACTACCACTTCTTCCATCCCCCCACCACTGCCACTGATCCCATAGTAATAATGTGCAGTAACCTCCAGCAACCAATCAGTGAGCAGTAATAATGTGCAGTAAGTTCTAGTAACCAGTTAGCAGTGATAATGTGCAGTAACTTCTAGCAGCCAATCAGTGAGCTGTAATGATGTGCAGTAACCTCTAGCAACCGATCAACTGTGTGGTAAGGATGTGCAGTAACCTCTAGCAACCAATGGGTGAATGGTAATGATGTGCAGTAACCTCTAGCAACCGATCAGCAAGCAGAAATCATATGCTGTAACCACTATCAACTAATCAGTGAGCCTTAATGTGTGCTGTAACCGCTAGGAACCAGTCAGTGAGCAGTAATAATATACTGCAACCTCCGGCAACCAATCGCAATCGCTGCCTGATCTGCTGCAGTAAACTCATTTTGAGTCTAACTGCTATTTATTGCATGTCTCAGAGCAGTCAAAGAGTGAAACTGCATGGGATTGGGGGGGGGGGGGGCAAGAAAAAGTTTGCCCAGGGTCCAATTAATATTAAAGATGGCCCTGCATCCATCTGTCAAACCTTCAAATTGATGACTCCCCTTTCCTAACAGCTCAACACCTTTGTAAGAATACTTGCCTATTCCTAATATGATTCTTGTCTTGCAAATATTTGAGCCAAAGATACCTCTTTGTGAAAAAAGTAAAGTATCCATACTGCATATGATATATGTTCTAACAAGGGATTAGACGATTGTGATATGTATGTACATTGTATTATGTTTGGAGTGATTGCGCGTTTTTTTGCAGTAAATGATGAATATGCTCGTATATACACAAAATAATCTCTATAAATTTGGTGAAATGACAGGAGATAATAGATATATTATACTACATGTAATGCGTGGATTTACTTGAGGCACCTAGACTGAACACTTTGCAAGTGTGGTTGATCTAGAGCTTTGCAAATGAGGGAGAGCTCTGCTGATTTCCATCATCCAATCATGTGGAAGCAAAAATTAACTTTTGTTTATTTTCCTTACATGTGCTTGGGTATTTTTTGTAAAGTGAAGCTTTACCTCATTTACTAAGCTCTGGAGTAACTTGCAAAGTGCAGAGTCTATTTGCCTTAAAGTAGAACTATAGGCAAAACTTTTTTCATTTTGATAGAGTAAGGGATGGGAATAACCCTTGTCAGTTGTTTGTATTTTTTGCATCTATGTCCCATTGGGGAGATAGACCTTTACTTCCTGTCCCATAGCCAAAACAGGAAGTGAGAGGAAATTCCTACAAATTAAAGGTATCCCTTAGAACCTTCCCCTCCCCCGGGTCACCAGATCCAGAGTCCCCACTGGAAAATGTCCCCTATTACTATTCTGAGGACAGCCCAAAATTTAGGATTATCTTTCACTTTCAATGATAATGGTAAACAGGACATACAGAGAGGGTGAATCTCCCTAACGGGGGCACAGATAGCAATAAAAACCTGACAGGTGTTCTAATCTATCTCCATTCTATCTAAAACTAAAAAAAAAGTTTTGCCTATAGTTTTGTTTTAAGTAAATCAACCTAAAGATTCTGTGTTTTTCCATACTTAGATTTCTATGCATTACTGTTGAGAGAACTGATCCAAAAAGGTAGAGACTAAATTGACTATTATATTTTTACATTCCTTATATACTGCATGTCTGGACCACTACTTATTTAACTCATGCATCTATTTATTTCATTTAACGCCATTTTATGTGTTTTTGCTTTTTGAGGTAAATACTGCATAATGGTGATAGTGAATTGACAATTTCAGTATTGCATGCGATATTTGGGAAAAATGGGTCCGATCACTTAAATACCACATATGATCTGTTTTAGTGTATGGAGCCCTAACGTCTTACCTTGGATTCTCTGGAATGTCACTTAATACCATCTGAGCCACACTGTGATATTCGATTAACTATACATGGAAAATAAAATATATGTATACAGGTAATTATTATTGTATGAAAGCTTAGTTGCAGGCTTTTTTTTAAAAACTCTTTCCTATTCACCTTGCTGGCTCTAACTTGCTCTAATTAAAAAAAAAATTCTCCCGGTTCTTGTTTGCTTTTTAATTTTTTTTACACACACACACACACACACCTGCCGAGATTTGAATTACTAGAAAGATTTTATACTTCTGATTCTCAAATTCATGGGTTATGCACATTGGGTTACTCTACAGGAAATTCACTATTAGAAGTTCTCTGTATGGTCATGGACGCACAATGAAAACATGCAAGACTCACAGGCAAGGGATTCGAAAGCTTAGGTTGTTAACAACATCCAAACAGATTCCAGCTAATGTTTTTTTTTTGTGAGTGTTAGCAAATGCAAGAAAAAAAAACAGACAATCTACAAAACCTTTTATGGGAAACATTGACTTTTTCCATAAATATGCTTTAAAGTAAACCTGACACAGCCTAAAACATTTATAGCGTAACAACAGTGGGCTGATCTAAAAAAAGGAACAGAACCCTCCCATCCACACAAGTGTGGTGGATGGAGAAATCATTTTCTTTTTCTTGATTTGCTAGGCAGCAATTACGGCTCCAATTGCAGCCTGGGCCTAGGATCCGAGGGGATCAATTTGAAGACTAAGGCTGGCCATACACTATACAATTTTCTTGAGATTTTTGCTTTAGATTTACCAAAAAACATATAATATGAGATCAAACCCAAACAACACTTTCATTTAATCAATTAAGCAGGCCATTGCACTACACAGTTGAAGGTAAATCTAAAGGAAAATGGGCAGAAATTGGATAGAAAGTTGTATAGTGTATGGCCAGCCTAATACTTGCAGGCACTACAGGTGCAGCATTTTAACGATTTAGACCAGGTCAGGTATTTTATCTTAATTTATACCTCAGAGGGAGTGTACATCACTGTGAACATGCGTTCTTGATGAGGCTGCAGTACACCTTGCGTGGGGCTAATCATGAAAGCAGTATTTGCATCAATGTTATTCCTAATCTGCGCCATATCCACAGCTTCTCCTGGTTGTAAATCTTGTAAATATGGCTTCATAATCTGCCAGTAGAATGGAAGCTCCACATGCCTGATAGGTCATAACATACAGTTACAATACAAATTACTGAGGCAGGCAATTAGCATTAACTATATTGGATAAATCTACTCACGTTGTGTTTCTAATAACGATGCTCTTTTGCACCGTGGAATGTAAATTTGTACTGGGAAAAAGTATTAAATGTTCGGCTTTGACATCAGTAAGCTCATCAGGACATGAAGTGTTTTTACCTTCACTGATAGAAACCAGCTCTAACCCCACAACTTGTCCATATCCTGGTAACAGAAGTAGAAACAAAAAATACATGCAAAATGACATCTGAGATATATTAGACATACATAGGCTAATGTCTTACTAATGATGATACAGTATATTTGACCATTCTTGTTCAAAATATATACTGTCAGAGTCTACGACAATCTTGTGGCCTGATATAAAGTAGCACATGGAAGGGGCTGTGATTATTCTATGTAGATTAAGAGTCTTGCTCTGAAAAATCACAGAGCTGTTCCAACACTATAGAGAATTATTTTGCTAAAATGTTTTTGTATAGAATGATGAAGCGTTAGAACCTCTGTGTGATTTTTATAGCCATCTGCGTAGATGCTTGCCTGACAGGCAAGCAACATGCAACGGCAGCTTCTATACTTCATTGCAAAGCTTTCCTTCAAGTGAAGGGGAATCATGAAAATATAACATCATTCAAACAAGCAACCTTTTCACAGCCCAGTTATAGACTGTGATGTTTGAATCAGTAGCTGCTTATAGCAAAGGAAATGTGGGCCATATATTCAGGCAGTACACCATTTCACCAAAAAATGTGCCCTCTGATACAGATGAACATTAAAGCGGAGTTCCACTGAAAAGTGGAAGCTCTGTTTGTTTGCTTCCACCCCCCTCCCCTGCCATATTTGGCACCTTTTCGGAGGGAGTGGGTACCTGGTTTTGATAGGTACCCACTCCCACTTCTGGCTCACTTCGCTGCGGCAAAGTGAGCCGGAAGTTTGGCCCCCTCCTTCTTCCCGCAGTCTCCTGGGAACTTTCAAAGATCCTAGAAGACTGCCAGACCAATCAGGATGCACAGTACGACTCGTGCATATGCAGTGGGCACCCAGGTGTGAAGCCGCAAGTTCTCACAGCCTGGTGCCCACAGTTGAGATGCCGGCACCGTGGAGAGAAGAAGGAGAGAAGGGACGGCGCAGGTACCTGGGACAGGTAAGTGTGTGTTTATTAAAAGTCAGCTGACTTTAAATAAACACAAAAATGTCTGGAACTGCTTTAATATGCAAGCACAATGGAATATTTCAGCTCTAGGGAAGGGGTCTTTGTCCCATTTTCCAGCATGCTGAAAACTATGGGGGTTATTTACTAAAACTGCATGGTGCAAAATCTAGTGCAGCGCTGCATAGAAACCAATCAGCTTCCAGATTTTATTGTCAAAGATTAATTGAACAAGCAGAAGTTAGAAGCTGATTGGCTACCATGCACACAGCTGCACTAGATTCTGCATGCATCAATTTTAGTAACTCACCCATGTGCAAGAAATACTGCAGACTTTCCCATAACATGATGATTTGCTCATTAACATCTACACAAGTTAATCAGATGGTGGCATCATTAGTAAAAATGGGTTGTAGATAGACTATATTACAAATTGTCTCTTAACACACCTGTCAGTGTAAGGTCATTGACCTGGCAGTTATCACAGACAATGGTGAAAACCTGGCTGTATGTTTCCGAGGATGTAGGGAAGAAGACAACCTGTAAAGGACAATAATGAGATGTGGAAGCTATCCATAAACTTATATATATTGCTAAACGTAATGTGATCAATCTAGTAATGGCCACACACATATTGATATGATCATTCAATCGACCAATAAATGGGAACAAACAGATCACATTACATACAAATATACAAATCAAGTTCTTAAAATGTACCACCGAAGCAATAATGAAAAGAACTGATCATTTTTTACTGTGGCACTTTATTTGATTATTCTGGAAATGTATTGAACTTTTCTTACTTTACTGTATATAGAGTCTATTATAACTATTAGAGAAATGGTAAGAGGTACTGATCAAATATGAAAACAAATAACACCTTGTTCAGTTTTCGTGACTGATGTTGAAGATTGGCTATTAGTGAGGAGAATATCTGTATGTGGTGAGTTGTGCACTAAATCAATAGAGAAGGATCCCCATTATCTAAATCAAGCATAAATCACAATTTGTATGGTGCACTTCAGGCTGACAGAATCAGATCATAATCAAGTAAGCGAAGCACTTGAAGCGAGGGTTAGTACACTAACCGCAATGATAGTTTCTTGTCCAGGATACAGTTCAAACATGGCTGGGTGGATTCCGAAGGGTGCCTGTTCAACGAATCCCGCTGTTGCTATACTCTTCAAAAGACATTATACAAGTGTTAAATGCTATAGTCAATGACAAACTGAAAAATGTAATGATATTTTTGCCTTCTATGGTTTGGAAGCTAAATTTAAGCTAAAGGCTTAAATATAATGGATAACTTGCCAGGCTGTTTTCCTGTCACACTTCTACTGAAACCTAAAATGCTAAACTTTTCACCCTATCTTTGAAGACAAGGAGGTGATCTTCACTATGCACACACCCCGTTCTCTTTCTACTTTCCATTTACATCAGCTTCAATAAGCACAATGTATACAGAATGAGAATGTTTTTTAATGTAACCAGTTGGATTTTAGTTTCCAGTTTCAAACCAGTCTGTGGAAAACAGCAGCTGGAATTGGATTAGTTGTTACAGACAACATTTACATCTTTCCTATTGCTACATTTCATAACCAGCACGTGCTCTCAACATATCTGCCCAAAGTGTTTCTATTGAATGCTGAATTTCCATATTTAGGAAATATCAGTATTTGCTGGCTGTGACATGACACCACCAAAGCCTTCTAGAAGAGGGAGAACACTGAGTATTATTTTTACATGAGGTGGTAGACTGAGAAGGTAACTTTAAAAGGAATAAAGAAAGAGGTCTTACTCTGAAGTTTGCTGGAGGCCAGACACTTTTGGGCATAATGCAGAAGCTTGCACGACTCAGCCCCTCATTTCTACAGAGAAATTCAAAGACCTTTACTCCTCCGACTAGGCAAGGACCACAGTCCATGATCCGAGGCACTGTTTAAACAATCAACAGCAACTAGTCAAGAACAATTAAAGTATAACTTAAGACAAAACATTTTTTTGGGATTTGGATAGAATGGGGAAGAGGTAAAACCTCTTTCAGGTTTTTATTGATATATGTGCCCTGTCCTGGTGACCATACAAATAATAGAGACACACATGACAAAGGTGCTGACCTACAGTACTTCACTATACAAAAAAAAGTGCTTTTTATTTCTGTCTGTCTACACCACATGTGTCAAATACAAGGCCCGCGGGCCAAATATGGCCTTCCAGGCCATTTTATGTGGCCCTCACACTTCTCCTGCAGTTGCGGCACCCCCCATCATCTCTAACCTCACCTTGTCTCAGCAGTCAGCAGCAGAGAGGACGACAGAACTCCTCCTACAGTTCCTGCGCTTCTCTGTGCAGCCGCAGCCCCCCACTCGTCTCTGCCTCCCCTGGCATTCAGCAGACTCCAGCCCTTTTCTGGTGCTCCTTCAGACCATGCACTTTATGCCTACCTGCTCCGCCACCAGCTTCTTCCCAGTAGATGGCAGATAGAACTGGCCCTTTGAGGGTAGCCACAATGCTGATACGGCCCACGATGAAATTCAGTTTGACATCCCTGGTCTACACAATTCCTCCCACTTTCTGTTCTGACCATCACACAGAACATGGGTAGAACTACAAGGTTTGTGGACACCTGACCACTAAACCAATATGAGTTTCTTGGACTTTTAAAAACCAAGGGCATTAATATGGAGTTGCCCCTCCCCTTGGAGGATATAAGTGGCTTCAATATTCTGGGAAAACTTTTTGCAAGATTTTGGAGTGTGTCTGAGTGCATTTGTGTCCATTTAACCAAAATGGTATTGGACAAGAAGCCCTGACTGGCAATTAATCTCTAAGGTGTTCAATAGGGGTTGAGGTCAAGGCTCTGTGCAGGCCACTCAAGTTCCTCCGCACCTAACTGGTCATACCATATCTTTATGGATCTGACTTTGTGCACAAGCCCACAGCCTTGCTGGAACAGGAAAAAACTTCCCTAAACTGTGGCTACAAAGTTGGTACCACGTAATTGTACTGTAAGCCGAAGCATAACTTTAGCATATTTCACTGGAAACACCCAAACTCAATAGTTTGGAGGGTGTCCACATACTTTTGGCCATATAGGGGTTGATTTACTAAAACTAAAATCTGGTGCAGGTCTGCAGAGAAACCAATCAGCTTAAAGTTTTTTTTTGTCAAAGCTTAAAGTGATTCTAAAGGTTGGAATGGTTTTGCACACAGCAGCCCCAATCCTCTTTTTTTTTGGTGCCCTGCTGGCAGTCCTGGCTCCTCCCCCCAGCAGAGTGCCCCCAACAGCAAGCCTCTTGCTATGGGGGTACAGAAGCAGGCTTGCTCCCGAGCCACGCTCCTGTGAATGGACACTCTCCATTCAAAAACAGGGCGAGCTTTGACCCCGATCTTCACTCGCTCCTCATTGGCTCACTGGCTGTGATTGACAACAGGAGCCAATAGCTCCTGCCGCTGTGTGAACCAATGAAGAGAGAGAGAGACCTTGGAGAGCTGTGGTTCTCATGTACATCGATAAAGCAAGATGGGGCTCAGATGAATTTAAGGGGGAAGGGGGGCTGAGGGGGGAGCTGCACCCAGAAGGTGTATTATCTTCATGTATAGAATGCACAAAGGTAAAAAACATTCTGCCTTTAGAACCATTTTATTTGAACAAGCTGTTAGAGGCTGATTGCCTACCATGCAGAGGTGCACCAGATTTTGCACTCTCCAGTTTTAGTAAATCAACCCTCCTGTGTATCAACAGCACAGACAGCAATATGAACATAACAAAACTAAGGAAAAAGTTACCATTTAAAAATAAAAATGGCCTACAAAAATAAACTATACAAAAAACAGCACAAGCATTCATGTCTATAACCAAATTGAATAATCTTCACAACACCCTATTACATGGTAATAGTTTTTATCTAAAGGTGAGAATTTTAGAGCCACAATATAAATCCATTACTTACATGTAAGTATTGGAGGAGGCCTCCTTGCTTCAATAGGAACTAAAACAGGATATGGTGCTTGTGACTCCACCAATATGAAATCCTCAAAGTCAGCCAAAGAATCAGGAACAAAACGCACTGTATAATGACAGCTCATACCTGGTGCTACAATTCCACCTTCTCCAGGAAATTTCCCTGGAAGCACAAATATGAAATACAGAACATGTGTACTGTGTAAAAATTACAGCCACATTTTAACAGAAATATATCCTGTGTAACAAATATGAACTACTAATAATATTTATAACAAATAACATTGTAGAATATTAATGTAAGTTCTTATAAAACTACTTTTCTATATATGGTAGGCTTTCTTTCCCTGTTGGAGGACCACATTTTATTAAGATTTTCGCCTTCCTCTGGATCCACTTCCACAGATTATGAGGGTGCAAGGCAAGCAAGGCTAAAAACAGATTTACAAATTCTTTGACAGCTAAAAACAGTTTATTAAGATTAAGATATACATTTAAACTGATATTCTACTTACCGAGTCCAACAGAGAAATATGGAGTGGAAGGAGGGATGATCCTCACGTGACGGCTTGATGCTGTCATGTTCCTTAACTCCACTGTCATCTTTATGTATTTAAATAGAGATGGAATCAGTTTCATATTGTAGAGGACCTCTAGCTTTAGTAATGTCTTTTAAGATACACTGTGTGTGTGTGTTTAAAAAAAATCAACCAAATACAATAATAATAACTCAAAATACGTGCTTCCTAAAATACAGTTTATTTTAGCGCTATATAAATACTGTATAATAATTTTCCCTTTAAAAGTTGTAACATGCCTGCATGGAATTTACATGTTCTCTCTGTGCTTGAATGGGTTTCCTATGTGTACGCAGCTTCCTCCTACACTACAAAATTACATAGGAACTGGCCCATATTTGGTATACATATACCCAGTTTAAGTATGTGTATGTATGAATGTGAGTCAGGAACCTTGGATTTTAAGCTTCTTGAGGGCAGGGACTGATGTGGATGTAAAATATGTATTTAAAGTGCTGCATAAATTGTCAGCATTCTATAAATATCTGTAATAAATAAATAAATACATACATAATATAATAATAATAATAATCCCCTCCCTCCTAGATTGTAAGCTCCGAGGAGCAGGGCCCTCCTATCCCTCTTGTATTGAACTGTATTGTTGCTATATTGTCTCCTGTTATATTGTAAAGCACTGAGCAAACTGTTGGCGCTATATAAATCCTGTATAATAATAATAATAATAATAATAATAATAAATTCTCTCAAATGTTTGAAACCCCAATTACACTATGCAGAATCACCTCATATATCTGTCCAATCTCATACTCTGGGAAGAAGATAACAGGCGGGTTAGCTAGAAATACTGGTATTGGCTCCTTTGGATCACTAGGTAAAAAAAAGGCTGAATAAGTATAATTTAATCCAAAATTCCCTAACAAATTATTCAGTTAGTCACCACAAAAATAACTATTTAAACTGTTTCAATATTTGGGTTAAAAATAAAGGTTTTTGTTGCATAT